GATAGCTCCCAGAGGCCAATACCGTCAAATTGCGTCCACACTAACCCTAATTCGAACTGGCGATATTGATTTCAGCGCTAATCCCCTCATCGGGGAGGAGTACAGAAATCGATTTTAAGAGCCCTTTATGTCGAAGTAAATGGCTTCGTTGTGTGGACGGGTGCGTGTGGACGGGTGCATGGTTAATTCGATTTAACGCTGCTAAATTCGACAAACTCGTAGTGTAGACCAGGCCATAGAGTTGATCAGGAATAGCTCTTCTGGAATGACTTCCCATGTAGACAAGCCTTAAATTGTCATTACTTGGATCTGCAAAAAGGCAGCAAATATCCTGAAAAGAATTTCTGTGACCCACATAAGATGCATCACAAAGTACTATGTCTATGGTACATGAGCTTTATGTATACATAGTCTGGCAAACATAAGAAGTAATAGCTACCTATGTTTTTATGTCAGTGCTAATCTGCTAATGGAGTCTTCCATAAAGATTAAGAGCTAATAAAGTACTGAGCTTTGCATTAAACAGCGTTTGCCTCATCCTTCCCACAACATCACAGACCTAACTCCTGGTACAACAAGACCTGACAAGAGCACACAAGTCAACACTTATTAAAATGATCTGGATGCAGATTATCTTTTGTTGGCTCAATATTTTTTGTTGTTTGATCTACCTCGAAACTGGAATTGTTAATGCAAAGATGAACTAAAGGTTGTCTAGTTTCAGTGAAGGCTCTGTAAGCAATTCTAGCTCCTTTGCGGAAATCTTAGACAAGGTAAGTGAGAATGTCTTTTATTGGACCAACTTCTGTGGGTCCAATCACCTCATCCACCTTGTCTCTCTAATATCCTGGGACCAACGCAGCTACAACAACACTGCAAATACAGGCTCTGTTGTTCTCCCAGGCTGACCTCTCAATGGGAGCTAACTGCACCTTCTCTGAGGACAGATGTCTGCAGGGATTTGGTCTATCCTCACTAAGGACCCTGTGTTCCCTACACAGAGGTAATTCTCACACATGGAAGCGTAAACACTTTGAACTCAGAATTTCTTCTTCTTTTTCATCATCCTGTGTGTGTGTTGGGGGGCGGGGTGGCTTACTCCCAATACAAAACACTGAGTCTCAGGGGTTCCACTAGAGACAAATCATCTGCACTAAGGACCTGTGCCTCCACATACTCCACCAACATATTAATGGATTAGCCACAATAAAACATCAAGATAGACTTTTCTTTTAATTCACATATGTGTTTCTGCTAATGCTTTGACTGATTAAAACTGAAATAACATTTAAAATCTAATGTACTTTTCAAAATTTATACTGATAGGTCGCTTTTTGCATTTTTCTCAGCTTGGCCAGTGAAACTAAACAGCTCCAGTTCCCATTTGTTTATAGTCACTTTCATTTCCTTATGCACCATCAGGTTGCTGATGTATTGCAGAATATGTACATTTCTTTTAAATGGTGCATTTAATTCTTCTAAAAATCATTACATTAATAAACACCTACACTGCCCATTCACTCCAATGAGAGAGCTCTGAACCTGAGTGATATTTTTACATGTAAATGGGGGCATTCGTTGTCTTACCTGAGAGTCAAGTTACATGCGATGTGATATCAGAACTGTAATCATGCAGAAGGGCTTCCTTCCAGGACCTGAAAGTCGTGTATTCATAGCCCTTTAATTGCAGAGTCACTGCTGAATAGCTGGCACTTTGTCTGCATCACTCTTCACAGGACAAAGAGTTTGGCATCCTTTTACATATTCCTTTCTAGAAAAAGAGAACAGGATAAGAGGGTTGAAAGACTTAATATTTTTTCTTGCACATTTTGGCTGTTTCTAGATAAAACAGAAATAACTTGTTTCTTCGGGGTGCAACTCTGTGCGGAATTGAACACCTCATAGAATCAGGGCCCTAGGAAGTTCCCAATCCTACTATACTGAAACCCATGGTAATCCTTCCAGTACTCCAATGGAACTCTTAGACAGTCATATTTTCCCATTCTTCTACTCTCTTCACCACAGAGTTTATATACATGTCTGTTGTGTAAAGGTTAGAAGTGAGAAATATCTATTACTGTCCATGTGGTGTTGGTACATTGTGTTTTTTGTTTTTCAAATGCTGCACTGAATACTCTAAAACACTCCCTTCTGCACCCCATCTCATGTGACTGATTCATTTAATACTAAGAAATTTAAATATATATAAATAAAAACAGGCACTGAAAAATGAAAATATCTAATAAATGGACATATTTATTTCATCCAATTAAAAAGGTCTCAAGAATGAAGTGGTCTGCCTCAGTTCAACATTTTAAAGCATAGTTACCATAATTAAATAAGGCAAAACAGATTTGCTGTAGCACACAGGAAAATGTGAGAAGACAGTAGAACAAAATTCCAAGACTAACCTGGAAACCGGGAGGCTCTCATCTAGTAATTAAATATATTGCCAACAACCCATAAGTCTCCATTGCGTTAGCAAGGGAAATATGATTTAAGAACACCCGTCACAGTGTTTATAATGCGTTATCCCAAAGGAAAGAAGTGCATCTGTTCTATATTAATTGTAGGTGATTTTTCAGTAGTTTGAGAGCTATTTAAGCAAGTATTCTACAAACAATGTTATAGTAATATAGCCAAACCACAAAAAGATTAAGGAGCTATATAGTAATAAAACAAAGATCTCAAGGCACATTTTTATGGAGCTATTATCTGGATGTGTGTGAAAAAAAAGAGGGCACACAGAGTGCATCTTAATTCCCACATCCCCTGCACACGCATGCAGCCATTCTTCTTCTTCTTATACAACAGCAAGTGCAAAGGCGGTGAAATGGATAACCTGTCCACCAGTGCCCCACAGCTTTAAAGGCATGTGGTCTGCCAGCTAGGGTTCCCAACCCTACATATGCATATTTTAGTTGGCAGCACTGTTCTTTTCTGGAAAAGCCAAGTGATTCCCCACCTCTTACTGTGATGGCAGGGAGGTCCAGGAACTCACCATGCAGCTGGCAATACTTTACTCGTCCCCGACGCAAATACATTCAAAACTAGTAAAGACTAGATTTTCATAATGTGTATTTGGAGGCATACACGTGCTATCGATGTATATAGATTTACTCTATATATATGGACAGTGAAAAAGAATACTTTGGTGATATGCAGCACAGAAATAAATAAAATAGTCTAATGTTGAGGTTTCCTGTTCTAGCTTCCTTGTCAATCCCTTATTGCAGTTTGCTTATGCCACGGGCCCTGCCCTCATTCTTACCGACGTTCACTGCCTCCAGGCCAACACATTAAAAAAACCAAAGTATTCTACATAGAAATTGCTCTGCTTTGCTAACAATTTACACCCACAGACTGACAGTCAACTCATTGAATATGTAAGGACAGTTAGCGAAGAGGCCTTGTACTTTGATCATACCCTCCTTTTGACACTTTCCGGGTCTTTGTCTTATAACAAGAAACTTTACAAAGACGATCATAACAAATGCATGTACCAGCAACTTGTAATTATGAGCAAGATATCTCATTATTTGTGGTCTACCTGCCCTTTGCTGATTGCAGTGGGTATGACATGGAAGGAATCTTTTGTTCTTGGCTGCTAGGTTATTTATATACTTTTCCATGCGACTCACCACATACCTGAGCACCTCATAAACATGAATGAAGTTATCCATACAACACCCCTCTGAGGCAGGAAACTCTTTTAAATCAGGTTTCAGAGTAGCAGCCGTGTTAGTCTGTATCTGCAAAAAGAACAGGAGTACTTGTGGCACCTTAGAGACTAACAAATTTATTAGAGCTACAGCATGCATCCGAAGAAGTGGGCTGTAGCCCACAAAAGCTTATGCTCTAATAAATTTGTTAGTCTCTAAGGTGCCACAAGTATTCCTGTTCTTCTTTTAAATCACCATTTTACAGATGGGAAAGTGAGGCACAGACAGATTGACTTGCCCAAAGCTACACCTTACTAGCTATAGCAGAGTTGAAACCAATATCCAGACTTCTTAAGTCCTTGTCCAGTACCTTTGCCACAAAACCTTCTCTGCAGACCTGCCTCTCCTTCTGATACACTAAAGTCTCGGAATCTTACCTACAAGTTTGGGCTCAACTAACCTGCTCGGTAGGTGCACGCCCAGACTAATGCAAGGGATGAGAAATGTTCAAGGTGATAATCAGTGCTACGGAGATGCTCTGACTTGTGCCAGGGGCAGGTGAACTGTGCAGCAGCGCAGAATCCAGGCAGAGCCAAGGTGGCACAAACCATTTCGGAACATGAACCATCTTTGACTAGATGGTGAAGCGTAGGCAGACACATTAAGTAATTTACCCGGCAGAGTTTCCTTCATTAACATGTACAAGTCCCTGCTAGCCAGGGTTAGTTTCTGTGGCTGCACAGCTCAGATCTCTCCCCGCTCCAAGCCGAGTGACCACTTGAGAAGAACTTTCCCTTCTGCGTTGTCCTAAAACGTAAACCGTTTTCGCAGCTGCCTTCAAGGCGAGCTCATGTTTCCACCCGCAATGTCCGTACTCCTGGCCGGGGGCTCGCGGGTGCAGATAACGCCTCTTCCCCACCGCAGCCGCCTGCAACGGGGCCCGCTTCGCCCCCTTCTCGCTTCTTTTCGCCTTTCCCATCGGTTCTGTCCGGACCAGCAGCGGGGGTCAGGAGGTCCCGGGGCCCGCCCAACGCTCCTGTCACGGCCCCAGGCGGGCGCCCAGCCGCCTCAACCCCGCCTCAGAGCTCCCTAGGGCAGGGGGCAACCAACGCACCCGGCTGCCCACGGAGCAGCCGCCCCTGCCCCTCCCTGTCTCCCGTCTCCCGTTTCCCGTTTCCATTCCGGCGGCTGCGCGGTCACCCCGCCCCGGCGCGGGGAGGGGCCTGAGGAGCGGCGCTGCCGGGCCCCGATTGGCGGAGCCGCTTGACAACCGCAGTCAGGGAGCCGGAGCAGCCAGAAGCGGAGCCGTAGGGTTAGGGCAGCCGCCGAACTGGACCCCCTTATTCCTGGGCCAGGGACCCGCCGCCATTTTGCGTCCCTCCCATCCGCTCCGTGCGTATCTGTGTGTCCGGGCCCCCCGGACTCCCCTCAGGTGGGTCCGCGTCGTCGTCGTGGGGAGCAGCCCCGGGCTCGGGCTGCCTGGGGAGAGTCCCGGCCTGCTGGGGACCCCTTCCTGCGGGGGCCAGGCTGGCACCTCCCGAGAGAGGGTGATAGAAGGCAATGGGGGAGGAGAGTGTCTGGGAGGGAGCAAACCGGAGGGGCGGGAGGAGGGGAGTGGGAGCAGGAGCTGGGGGTGGGCAGGCGGCGGCGGGCCTGTCAGGGAAGGGGGTGGGGGATAGAAGAGAGTCTGGGGCGGGTGGGGTGACAGCGGGAGCTCTGAAGGGGGGAAGCCCCAGGGGATGGCAGGGTCCCCTGTCATGGGGAGGAGGGGAGGAGGTCTCCTGCCAGACAGTGGAGCGGAGGGTGGTGCTGAAGGGACCAGGCGAGACAACAGCCTGGTTGCTTTGATGCTGGTTTGGCGAAAACCCATTCATCTTGGCATTCTCTCCTACCCCGCCCCAGACCCCGGTATCCTCCAGTCTAAATGTGGTGCGTGATCCTGTTCTGTGGCCTGCAGCCCCGGTTCATTCCCCCCGTGAAGAGCAAGGGGACAGTGTGGTTCTAGCCTGATTCCTCTGTTGTGATCCTGGCATCTAAGTACTGATTTCCCTTTGTTGTAGCGTTTACAGGGCAAGTCCTCTATAATTAGGTGCCTTGGACATAAAAATGTGTCGACTCTTAGCATACTTGTGTTTACGTGAACAAGATGCGGTTTCCTTTTTGCCTTTATTGCTGACAAATGGGATGTATAAATATGATGCATTAAACCTTAATATTTAAGTACAGTAATCTCACTGAAGTCCTACATGTTCTTAGTTCTTCTGAGTAAACATTCTGGAAATATTTTCTGTATCTTGATACTGTATCGTTAAGTACGTTATTGTTTCAGGGTTTTGAGTAGCAAAAAGGAGAAAATACTCTTAAATACACATGAGCTAAAACGAATGAAGTATGCCAATACAAAAGTGGTGTACCAGCGACTACTTAGTCAAAACACATTAGCTAGTTGCTAGATTGTCAAAAAAAAATTTTAGTAAAAGTTGTTTCCTTTTTCCTCTTTATCACAATATACAAGTATTGTGTGGTTTAATTTCACCTTTCTTTTCTATTTTTTTTTTTTTTTTGGCATCCATCATACACTTCTCTGCATGATGTGCATTTATAATCAAGACAAAGAGCATTCAGGTTGTAAAAGAAACTGATAAAAGCAAGGAAATCTGCCAGTCAGTTATCAAATATAGTAGGTCAAACCTTAATGAAGTATGTAATATTGTGTCTCTCTAAACTGGGCCTTGCAGACCACAAGGAGGTACTCCAATATGAAACACTTGGATGCTAAGTAGTGGAGGTGTGGAGAGAGAGGGTGGTGCATGATAGAATCTTTATTTTGACAACTGATCAGTGGAATGGAAAAAAGTTGAGCCATTGAGTTAACGCTGTTCATTTGGGGGCCAGGTATGGGAAAATGCGTTGTATAATTCGTCCTTATACACAGGTTTGTCTTTTTAATTAAAATCAGAGTACCTGTATTGTAATGTAGTTTATATGAATTTTTATATTACCTTGTTCCTAAGGGCTAAGTGATCTCCAGTGATTTCCACCCTATATATCCCTATTTCATGGGAATTAATTCAGATAAAAACTTGGCCCATAGAATGTAATTTTAAAATATTTCCTCTTTTATTTAGGGCATCTGAGAATTATTGAGGACAGAGTGAAAATGGAGCCACAAGTTAATGACTTGGGCCCAGATCCTGCAATGAACTCTCTGCATGGACAGACTCCTGTGCTCACATGGAGATATCATTGCAGAATCAGGGGCTAGGTTACTCTAGAATGAATGAATAAAAATGTGTCTAATATTTCACACCAAGAAGTGAAGACTTTAATTATTATTTTTTATTTTAAATGTTTTTTCTTTTTTCCCTTAATACTACTTACGGAGCTCTTTTCTGTGAAGTTGTTTATGCTGCAACAGTTATTATTGTGAGAGAGTCTCTTCAGAAGTGTCTGCATTTTAAAAGGCTTATGGTTTACAGCTTGTTATTTACACCTGTTAGGAAAACTAGACTTTTGAATGCATTTTGCTCTTCTGTGTAAAAAGATAGATGTAGAGATGTTTTTTAAGTACATCAGAAGCAGGAAGCCTGCTAAACAACCAGTGGGGCCCCTGGACGATCAAGATACAAAAGGAGCACTTAAAGACGATAAAGTCATTGCGGAGAAACTAAATGAATTCTTTGCTTCAGTCTTCACGGCTGAGGATGTTAGGGAGATTCCCAAACCTGAGCCGTCCTTTGTAGGTGACAAATCTGAGGAATTGTCACAGATTGAAGTGTCGTTAGAGGAGGTTTTGGAATTAATTGATAAACTTAACAGTAACAAGTCACCGGGACCAGGTGGCATTCACCCAAGAGTTCTGAAAGCACTCAAATGTGAAATTGCGGAACTATTAACTGGTTTGTAACCTGTCCTTTAAATCAGCTTCTGTACCCAATGACTGGAAGATAACTAATGTAACACCAATATTTAAAAAGGGCTCTTGAGGTGATCCCGGCAATTACAGACCGGTAAGTCTAACGTCAGTACCGGGCAAATTAGTTGAAACAATAGTAAAGAATAAAATTGTCAGACACATAGAAGAACATAAATTGTTGGGCAAAAGTCAACATGGTTTCTGTAAAGGGAAATCATGTCTTACTAATCTATTAGAGTTCTTTGAAGGGGTCAACAAACTTGTGGACAAGGGGGATCCAGTGGACATAGTGTACTTAGATTTCCAGAAAGCCTTTGACAAGGTCCCTCACCAAAGGCTCTTACGTAAATTAAGTTGTCATGGGATAAGAGGGAAGGTCCTTTCTTGGATTGAGAACTGGTTAAAAGAGAGGGAACAAAGGGTAGGAATAAATGGTAAATTTTCAGAATGGAAAGGGGTAACTAGTAGTGTTCCCCAAGGGTCAGTCCTAGGACCAATCCTATTCAACTTGTTCATAAATGATCTTGAGAAAGGGGTAAACAGTGAGGTGGCAAAGTTTGCAGATGATACTAAACTGCTCAAGATAGTTAAGACCAAAGCAGACTGTGAAGAACTTCAAAAAGATCTCACAAAACTAAGTGATTGGGCAACAAAATGGCAAATGACATTTAATGTGGATAAATGTAAAGTAACGCACATTGGAAAAAATAACCCCAACTATACATACAATATGATGGGGGCTAATTTAGCTACAACTAATCAGGAAAGAGATCTTGGAGTCATCGTGGATAGTTCTCTGCAGATGTCCACGCAGTGTGCAGCGGCAGTCAAAAAAGCAAACAGGATGTTAGGAATCATTCAAAAAGGGATAGAGAATAAGATGGAGAATATCTTATTGCCCTTATATAAATCCATGGTACGCCCACATCTTGAATATTGCATACAGATGTGGTCTCCTCATCTCAAAAAAATATATACTGGCATTAGAAAAGGTTCAGAGAAGGGCAACTAAAATGATTAGGGGTTTGGAACGGGTCCCATATGAGGAGAGATTAAAGAGGCTAGGACTTTTCAGCTTGGAAAAGAGGAGACTAAGGGGGGATATGATAGAGGTATATAAAAGCATGAGTGGTGTGGAGAAAGTGAATAAGGAAAAGTTATTTACTTGTTCACATAATATAAGAACTAGGGGCCACCAAATGAAATTAATGGACAGCAGGTTTAAAACAAATAAAATGAAGTTCTTCCTCACACAGCGCACAGTCAATCTTTGGAACTCCTTGCCTGAGGAGGTTGTGAAGGCTAGGACTATAACAAGGTTTAAAAGAGAACTAGATAAATTCATGGAGGTTAAGTCCATTAATGGCTATTAGCCATTTTCCCTAGCCTCTGTTTGTCAGAGGGTGGAGATGGATGACAGGAGAGAGATCACTTGATCATTACCTGTTAGGTTCACTCCCTCTGGGACACCTGGCATTGGTCATTATCGGCAGACAGGATACTGGGCTGAATGGACCTTTGGTCTGACCCAGTATGGCCATTCTTATGTTCTTATGACTCTGGGAATATTTGTAATATGCTGAAAAAATATAAAAGGAGTATATTGGAGATCTTTTGATGCCAGAAATTAAAACTTCTTGCGGAAATTAAGGGGTGAATATTGTGTCTTTAAAAAAAAAATTAAGAATATGTTCTCTTTAATTGTCTGTTTCATCCCTTAATAACTGTTTTTTTAGAACTAGTACAAACATCCATTATTTTAGACTTTCAAAAGTCTAAATGAATTCCCAGTATGACTGCCCATCAGTCATTGATCATTATCTAAGGGCACTAACATTTTATTTTAGAAATGCATTGCTATCTAAAATGTGAACAAATCTGGGTTTTTTTTAAACTCCCTTACAAAGTTCTTTATGTAACTTCTACTAAAAGGCCATAGATACAAGTTTGCACAATTGGAGTTACCATTCCATTTATCGGCAAACACCCTGTGTAAGATGTTAAGCTTAAATTATGCCCCCAAGAATAGATGTTTCCTGATTCTGTTGCCCTTTCAATACTTATAATACTCTGGTTTTGGTTTTTTGTTATACATTTTTTAAAGGAAAACTAGCACAGAAATCTGAAAGCTTAGGATATAAATGCAAAGAAAGGAATTTTAAACCTTTAACACTGCCGCTCAGTCATTCTTGAGTATTAGTGCTTGATCAGATCATTGGTGACGTTATGTGCCATATGTGCTGGCAATACAGAGTCACAGTGGAATGGTTTGAAGATGCAGCTTGAGCTCTAACCGTCAGTTTTTCTGCTGCTCTGTGTTTAATACCTATAATGTTTTCAAAAAATGGATATATAAACACACATTTCACAAGATCCTGTGTGCAAACTTCTAGATTTTTCACATTGCATACTTTACAGCTCATTGTTCCAGTACATCTTAGTAATGTGTAATGCATATGAGTGTATTAAATCTGAGTTTTTTTTCTTGTTACCCTTAAAAACCTTCAATTAAATGA